ATTGTTCATTTTAGGGCGGTGGGTGGGGGCCGGGGGGTGACAATAGGTCCCCCCCTTATTATTATTAGGGCCCCCACCCACCGCTCAGGGGTGGCGGCCGGGGGGACAATAGGTCCCCCCCTTATTGTTATTAGGGCCCCCACCCACCGCTCAGGGGTGGGGGCCGGGGGGGACAGTAGGTCCCCCTCCTCATTATCTTTATGGCCCCCACCCGCCGCCCAGGGGTGGGGGCTGGGGGGGGAGGAGAGTAGGTCTCCTCCCCCCCCCTTCAACCAGATAGAGTCCCTGTGTGTTTTAAAATTCGCCTGCTCATTGAAGTCTATGGCGGTTTGTCAGGTTCGCCTGGTTCGCAAACATTTGCGGAAGTTCGCGTTCGCGGTACGCGAACCGAAAATTTCATGTTCGCGACATCACTATTTACTTATTGCATTCAGTTTAATTGACTTGTTACATAAACAAAATATATAAAAAACATGTTTGAAGATGCAAGAGTTGGCTTTTACAAATAGGGAAAATTGTAAAATAGTGGAGAAGAAATGTTAAAAAAGAAACAACAATAGCAAAAGTATGCTAGATCTGTGTAATGAGAAGAGAAAGGTTTGTTTGGCATGATTTGGATTGCAGATGACTAATGGGATGGATTTTCTTTATTACAGTGAGAAGATCATTGGTGATAAGAAAATTGGTTAGTAGGTTAGTAAAACTGCAAAGTGAAAATCGAATTGAAATGAACAATACTCTTCAATTCCACAGGGAGTGTCTGCAACATTGGATATTCATTTTTGTCTGGGTGAACATATAGTTCCTTTATTAAATGTCTAAATATAGTTACAGTATAAACTATATTGATAATTTACAGATCCAGAATGCTGTAAGGACCCGAAAAAGCAGAACGCGTATGCGCGAGAGACGACGCCAGCACGTAATGATATCCCATCTGCGCGTCTTGACGCATGCGCAGACACATTCAGAAGACACAACCCGGCATATTTAAATGTTGAAGATTAAAGAACAGAATACACACTCCTGAAGAAGACAAAATGCATTGAGCAGCATTTTACCCTCAAAAGGACTCCAGCCCAGCGGTTATTTAGAAACTAACTATTGACTCCTGATCATCTAAGGTCATTGGTGGAAGCCCTTCTGAGACTCAGAGGCATCTACAACGGACTGGTATTCCTGGGGACTAAGCTTTTGCACATATTGATTATTTCAATTGTGTTTAGTTTTTTTTCTTGCTCTTTTTTAAATCACTGATATCTATTAAAGTTTGCACAATGATCTTTTATATTTTTCTCTTTCGTGTGAGTTTTATGCGTTCCTCATCAGTTTGATAATCATATCCTTCCCACTCTTTGTGACTGTGGCGCCCTGTGCTGTATTTTAACTTTGTTTTTATACAGCTTTCTTTGCACTTCTCTCTAGGAGGGATTTAGAAGTGTCCCTGTTTTCAGTGGCCTGCCTGCACAATTTTGCACCTTTATTCTCACCACCTGTGGTTTGGTTCGTCACCAAAGAATAAGAAATTGATCCTAACAGGAAGAATTCATTCTAATGCTTGTCCACAAAACACAATTTCTGTACTTTATGCCAACCCTATTTTCAATCTTGTGAAACGTAGTTTAGGAAATTGTCCATATTTATTTAATTACCCTTTCTGTGTGGCATTTCTTCAAGGTACATTACATTTATTAAATTTACTTAAATGAAATACTAAACACAAAATGTAACCATGTCTTGTATTGGTAAGCAAATGGCACATAACTTGTCTGGCATTCTGTTTTGAATGAGTTGCAGGGAGTGTGAATAATATCTCTGGAACAATTGCTTCTGGCATTTCCCAATTTTTTTTTTCTGATTTATACTTCAAACTATTTTC